CTAGCAACAACTCGGAGTCTATGAATAATGTCTTAACAAAAGCCAAATCATATCCGATTGTGTACATGATAGAGTTCATTCGAGAGGTCCTAATGCGATGGTTCGCAGCGAGGAGGAAAAAAGTGGCTAGGTGTAAGTCTTTAGTGACGCCTGAGGTTGATGAGCGTTTTCTCCAAGATTTGCCTGCCTCAGGGAAATACGCGGTGAAGATGTCTGGACCGTGGAGTTATCAAGTTACAAGCAAGTCAGGTGAGCATTTTCATGTCGTCCTGGACGAGTGTACGTGTACGTGTCTTAGGTACACAAAGTTAAGAATCCCATGTGAACACGGTCTAGCAGCTGCAATCGAGTTTGGAATAGATCCGAAGGTTGCTGTCGGATGGTGGTATGGCCTTCAAACGTTTTCCGATTCTTTTCAAGAACCCATTCTACCTATCGCGGATCCGAAGGATGTTGTCATCCCACAACATATATCGGATTTGATACTAATTCCTCCATACAGTAGACGACCACCAGGAAGACCAACAACCAAAAGGATTCCATCTAGAGGTGAAAACCGGGTAAGTGCTATCATTCAAACCTGTAGTCATTTTTCAAATATCCCTCAACATTATGTTTTGAGTATAAGATGCGTAGATTATTAACTTATTGTTGTTGTCACTTCAGAAAAAGAGACAGAAAAGACTTATTCCGAATCAGTGCACACGATGTAGACAAGCAGGTCATAACAAGAAGACTTGCAAAAATCCAATTTAGCTCTGTAGGTAGTGTGTTTTTTTGGCAAAGTGTGGGCAGTGTACGTTTATGTATTTTTTGTGTTTCCAAGTTTATTTCGGTGTACGTATGCCTTTGTACGTTTTCAGTTTCCCCGTGTACGTATACCTTATAAATGAAACGGTTATAGACGGTTACACAAGGGAAAAGGGATTTCCATATCCGTAATTTCTGGACCGTTGATTTTTATACCTGCACATTTTTGAAGTGTATTTTTCAAATCGATTTCTCATTTCCTCTTTATCTTCTCGATCATTACAGAAACCCAAACACATACATCATTCATACATATAGATTCTCATATTTCAAAACACATCATGATTTTAGTTCAAACCCACATCATGCATTAACTACAATACATATAGATTCAAAATATAAACCTGAAAAAGAAAATCAACACCAAAGCGAACACCACGATATTCTGCAAGCTACGAAACTGAATTTTCAACTCTGCAACTTCTTTTTCAATCACAGCCTCACAGACACGCGTCTCCATCGTCAGATTCTCAATCTCTGATTCATACACATTGAAGCTTTTTTGCATTGTAATCGAAGTTCCTTCTAAGTTATCAACTTTCTCTATTAAGTCTTGTATCTCCTCTACCATACAAGAATCCGTCCATTTGAACACATGAAACCTATTATCCTGTCATACCAAGCTAAATGCATCTCTTATATGACACAAAAACACATATAGACAACAATTCCCAGAATTTAGCCACTTACATTGTCTCCAAAAGGACAAGCATGAAACAATCTGCCAGGATTTCTAGCAGTGTTTGACGTCTTCATCACTATAGGTTCTCCGCACCGACACTTCTTAGGGAACCCTCTTAATCGATCACCCATTTCACAACTACCCTGCAAATTTCACCAATTCAGTCTCATTTCTTCATTAAATCGAAGGTCGAGTAAGACATGGTTACCTGCTACCGAAATGATGATTACTTCCGATCCAATTTCTCTGTAGCTCTCTGTTCTGCGAATTTCTCCCCTATTTTCACTCTAATTTCGGAGAAGACGAAGAAGAAATGAGAAATCCGATTCTCATTGCGAAACCCTAGAATTCTTATTTTTCCCCCAATTGAAAACGGCGTCGTTTGATTAATTTGAAAACACAAATGTAAAGGTTTATAATTTAAAATGATTGGGACATGTTCGATGAAAGTTGTGGGATCAATTGGTATAAGGTTCTCGAAGAGTCATGAAGGCACACGGGTTCGAGACCCCAATTTTGCATACATAAAACCTTTTAGACCAAGTTGTGAAACGACGTCGTTTTACAATACAAGTCAGCCCCAATGTATTTCCAAACGTTGCACCCTTTCGAACTAACCATTGCTTTCTTTCCCAATTTTTATTATTTAAGACCCAATTTATTTGCTTGGTTTTCCACGTTCCTCCTATCTCTAGAAAACACCAGTCAAATCTCCATTTATATCTGTCAAACACAAACTATCACCCCTTGTGCTTACATTCCGTGTTATCATCATGGACGGATATCATACCATTTCTGAATTGTGTCCAATGATCACTGGGTGGACAATTTGTGTCTTTGTCGTCCGAGTGTTTAAGAAGTTCGTTGCTCCTAACGTTTTCGAAATCGGACTCATCTTGGCAGATGAATCGGTAATATCCCGACCTCTCCTAATTTTTTACCAAAATACAACCCATTTGCTTAAATCTTATTTGCTTTTTCATCATAATCTGCAGGGTTCCCGTTCACGCATAGAGGCAACCATTGACCGTCGTCTTGCTCCTTTTTATTTGGATCGACTCAAAGAAAATGAGTGGAAAATTATCACATCTTTCTCTGTACGTAAAAATGCTGACCCAGTGAAAACAACATCGCACGAGTACGGGATCTGGTTTTTGGATCGGACCGTTGTTACTAACGCATTGCGAAGGGACGCATTCAATTTTTATGATTTCACTCAATTCGACTACATTATTCAGAAGACGGTTGATAAAAATGTGTTGGTCGGTGAGTAGTTTTACCTTAGACTTGTACGTACATTAATTTTTTTCCAATAGTTACATAATATCTTGGTTTATACCCCAGATGCGGTTGGTGCGCTTTTGGAGGTTGGAGGAATCACCGAAGACTTTTACGGTGTGAAGCTTCCTTTCAAGATCAAAGATAGATAGTACGTATCTCTAGCCTTTGCAAATAAAACTACTTTAATTTGCTGATCATGTTTCTCTTTCCCTCTACTTTAGCAACGAAGTTTTGGAATGTGAAGCCCACAATCAACAAGCTTTGGACTTCCAAAGTTACTTCCGCAATTATACTCGTCGCAATATTGTGGTAGCACTCGTTTGCTGGAGGGTAACCGGGAGAAATAACCCGAAGCTTGTCAGTCATGGCCCTGTATCAAAGTTGTTTGCTGATCCGGAAGTCCAAGAGATCAAAACGGTGGTTTATTAGTCTGAAGGCGTGCATCTTGCTTTGTTTTTTATCGTATTCTAAAAACAACAACAGTTGTTATTTCTATAATCTCTTGTTGCTATAACAACAAACAAATATTGTTGTTTTCTAGTTTGTTATTCTCCCCAAACTTAAAAATATATGGCCTAATTTATTTTTAATTTTTGATCCATTAATATAAAATTCTTGACAAGTGTACGTTCATAATGACTAATTCCAGCATTGTACGTACATATTATAACATTTTCGGAGTTTCCATTTACTGGATGTGTACGATAATATTAGTGTTCTCTACTATGTACGTATACATATTACGTACAACTACAAAACGTTTAATTATTCATATATGTTTAATTCATAAAAGTAGATTTCATTCATTCATAACAAGAGTCCTTAAAAAAGAAAATACAAAGCATAGAAATAAACAGACACCTAGGGTTAACTTCATTCATTCATAGCAAGACTCCTAGAAAGGGAAATACAAAACATAGAAATAAACAGACTATTACGGTAGAGATTTATAAGAAATAAAGTAAAGGTGATAGCGGGAGCATAGTCATAAGTGGGAAAATTGCATGCTTCTTCCTTCATATCCATCGCACCTCTAGTAGAAAATGCATAGTTCTCGAGCGTACCAATAGAAAAAACAATTGCGGCAGCAATGTCCGTATGTGCAGCGTCCGATACATGGTGGACTGATGACAAACCTCCACGATCTTTGCCACAGCGGAGGGCCATGAAGATGAAGTTGACTGATGTGATACATCACCAACTCTCCCACGGCGGTTGCAGCCTCGAAATTTTGTATCATTTCCCAGAACATTGCATTTACCGGGATGAACTCAGTGTAGCTGCCCGTCGTTGTTAAGAACAAGGCATGTGCGAAGCACGCATATGGGTCGGCTGGGGAGACCGAAGTGAGCAACGCTATACCATGAGTGACGGTCAGGAAGTTGGTACAAAGCCTTACTCCTTCAAGGTATTGCGCACACAAGGATCCCCTCTCCAACAAGATGTCGAAATACGGTCGGAAAGGAGAATCAGGCTGAATGAAATGCGGCCAAGTCATAAACTCGTCCATACAGATGGAGTTGATGTCAACGGCATACACCATGTTCCTAAGGGTTTCGACTGGAGTCTGAGATACAGGAAGGTAGTTTACTAGTATACTGACAGGGTTTGGGAGCAGGACCGCAATATACATCTCGGTCGGAGGAGGAGTTGGGAGAGGCATTTTTTTTTAATATTATATCGGTTTTGAGTTTGAACGATTTGTGTGTAAAGAGACTTCAGGGTGTAGTTATTTATAGGGTTATAACAAAGTATGTGAAGGCAACAAGTTGAACTACTTCAATGTGATGTGACATCAGCTCTGGTTAACGATACATTTTTCGAAATTAGGACGAAAGTATAGGTACGTATTTAGTGCTTTATTGATTGAGTCTATCTCCTTCTAACAGTGTACATTTATAGCTCCTCCGTGTACGTCTATATTAGGAACTACTTGTTAGAAGCATTCAGAAATATTAAATATGTTCATTATATAAGTCAGACAAAATGTATTTAATAACTATCCACGAAAGGGGTCAAATCAATAAGGGTAGATTATTACTTGATAAATTTGCTAGAAATAATCTTTCTAAGAGTGTACATTTAAAGCTAAACCGTGACAAGAAGTATTGAATATGACATTTTTTTGTCTTTTATCTGACGAAATCTTTAATCCTCATACATTCCATATGTAGTATAAAATGAAATTAATACCCTTTCAACTATTTTAGATATTTGTGAAAGAGTGTAAAATCATTAACATTTATAACAACAAGTACTATATTGCTATGAAAATTTCAGCACACAAGCATATAGATAATAACATGAAACATCAAAGATAAACTTAGAGGAGTTGGCTAATTCTTTTAGCACACCACCATAAATAGCAAACGTTACACACATTTTTAAAGGGACCAGACCTGATGTAACACATCATCGCGCAAGGTGGAGTGTTAAATCCACGAAACTCAGGGTAAGAAAATGTTGCACCATAAGTGTTGTTGTATGTAAGGCCATATTTTTTAATCTCATCTAGCAACTCCTCACACATGTCTCGAGTGTCTTCTGATTGCAACGAGTAATGGTTTCTCTCAAACATTCGAAGATACTCAGCGCCCATGTACGCGTTACCGTCACATATGGAGAGGATCGCACACGCAAGTGTTGCATCAGCGTGATTAGGCACATTGCGATGTAATAGAACTATAGCTCCCTTTATGTCAGATTCATGCGTTAGAAGACGCAGTCCTTCATGATAGATAGCTATTGGATTTCCAGCATCTACGCATCTTTTGAAGAAAGGTCTATAGCGACCTTCGGTGTGGATGTCATTTGGATCATGACCAGCTGCATGGAAGTCATCGGGATCACTGCACAAACTGTAAATATTTGCATCTTGGAGTACATCGGGCCGGTATACAATGTCCCTTCCACGAGGGCCTGATCTTAAGAGAGGCTGTAGGTACCACCAACATTTGTGAGCAATGATCTTCGCAATCTTGGCTAGGACATCGTCAGGTATATTTGGATATGACATGTTTGGATTGAGGTGTGGAACTCCACATCAATCTTATCCACTTAAATAGGCGAGGTGAAAGTTTTAGTTGGGAAGATAATAGTTGTATTCAATGAGATTAGCAATAAGTGTAGTTCCAATACGTCAGCAATGTCAAATCAATTAACTATATGTAACCTTATCTATTTCTTTACTATTTTTACTCCAATACTATATACATTTGTGGTAGCCATATATGTATAGTATGTACGTACACCGAAATTCATTTTCATGCATATGTACGTACGTCTGAAATTTTAGATATTATGTTTGGATCTTTAGATTAAAACATGAGATTCGTTCAAAATACATAAAATAAGTTTAGAGTGCTTGAAACATAACATAGCCCACACGTAAGCCTGTATAGATATGGGTTTATTCCATGTCAAATCAATTTAATTCACATTTCTCTCATATTTGTAGTTTGATACCTACCAAAAACTGTGTACAATAATTAAAACTAGTGTACGTATATGTTAGTCGATTTTAATTTTATAAGGAATAATTGATTTGATGGCTTGAGCCGGCGGTATTAAATACGTGTGCCGAATTCTTTAACTATGAGTGAGACCGGGTGATATCACTCAAGTACAAGGCATCATTATCTAACATAAAGAAACTCGTTTCTCATTTTACTATAAAATATATTACAATTAATTGTAACCATTCATAAGATTGAGTATTATATGATAAACAAGCAAGGATGTAGATAAAAAGTGTGCGATGGGCAGATTGTTTAGAGAAGATAGTTTATAACGATTACATAATTATTTTTAGGATCTCCATAATTAATTACGTTGTTCCACATAGGTTGTTCACAATTAGGGAATAAGTACTAGGGAATAATAATATTTCAACATCCAGTGATGATTACAATAAGCGCCGATTACCACCCTCGCGCTTGCCGTGCTCGTAGATTTCTGTTGCGTACACCTGACGGTAGATGGCCATATCTGATTCTTGAATATTCACCAAGTCTGACATTGGGTTACCAAACGCCAGCAACTCCAAGAACTTCATTGCGTAAGGCCCGCAATCTCCTGAACTTGGGTTTTGAGCGACGTTCAAATCTCTCTCATAGCCAAAAGGTTCAACTGAGTATGTCTGAGGCAATACATCCGCGCACATCGCTCTCACTAGGTACGGCATCATCTCGCAGACAGGCTTCATCTTTGACCATGCAGCAGACTCCCGCGTGTAATCTATGAAAGCGTCATAGACAATTATATTCCGGGCTCTGAGGTGGATTGCCAAACCAACCCAATGATCACCTCTCCAGTTCATCGGAGCATATACCACGTCGACATCCTTGATCCACCGAAGACTAGGTTCACGGTGTATGTGTATTCCATTGGCAATGTCGTATAACCGTTGGCCCCATTTGAACCCCTGCTATTTATACAATTGTTGAAGCTGACAGCACGCTTAGTAAGCTCATAAAGCAGGAAGGAGTCCAAAACAACGCATCGGTTTTCTATCATTTGTTGACCGTTCTTGTGCCACATCAACATTGCGAGGCATTTCCAAGTGCTGAAATGATGATATCATATACAGTCAGTGTACGTACACAATAGGCATATTTTAAAAATGTACATAAATTGTGTGTACATGCAGGCGAGTGTACATAAATGTACTATTTCAACTTACCATATTATCCACCCAGTTTCCTTGTTTTACAAGCATGGAGAAAAACTCGTTGTCCACTTTGCGATACCCGAAAAGAGTGTGCTTCCTGTAAATCCAATATTATAGTATGAGTTGTTGTTGTAGAAACCCAATTTTTCAATTAAGGGATAATTTTGAAAATGCAAGATACTTACACATTCTCTCCGTCGAGGACATTGGTTAAGAGCTCTAATTTGGAAGCATCAACCTTGTCCAGGGGGTTGAAAGGGACATTTCCAGCGCTATAAGCAGCTCTGAATCTTCAGTTCGTTCTGGAACATCCTCCACGAGGACTGTTGTTTCCTTATAACCTTCAGGAAGGGCTTCATCCATCTCATAAACTAGTTGCTTCTTCACTTTTTTGGTACAACCGGCGTAGGAATTTTAACTGCTATTGCTTCGAGTGCAGCATCGTTGTTTGGTTCATCCTGTAAAGAAGTGTTATTGTAAACACCATGATTAAACAATTTTCAAAATGTAATTGATAATATTTACTGGCAAGATACTCACAATATTTCAGGTGTACCAACTGTTGTGTCTGCTTCATCTAACCCTGGGTTTGAATCCTCTTGTTCTTCTACCCCGGCGACAATCCCCTGCTCCTCCAACACTCCCTTTTCAAATTAACGTACAGAATTATTTAAATGTACGCATACAATCCAATGTACGTATGTTAATAACTGTGTATAATTTTAAACCAACCACGAGATTTTTACCTCCTTTACATTAGCTGCATCCAAATCCATGGAGGCTGTTGTTTCCAACTCCTGTAACACCTGCATAGTAGAAGATTATAAATTTAAACAAGCCTACACTATTTTATTTAAAAATATAGTTAGCGCACATTCTTAACTACTGCAAATGGTGAAGGGGGATCACTAGGGGTGCCCTGAAGTACTGAGTCATCCACTTTACACTCTGGAACTACTTTGGGTACATCTCCCGCATCAACCTGTAGCAGTAGTTATCAATTTCATCGGATATCTCCTCTATTTAGTTCTGGCTGAAACAATCATTACTTATACGTACACGGGAAATAAGAAAGAGAAATGTACGTACACGAGTGCCGGGTTCCTCGGTGTGTTCAGCCTGAGAAGATGTATCTCTGTCATTATCCTCACCAATTTCTGGTTCCTCCCCAACATTTGCTTCACTCTCAACGCCGGCACCATGTTCTTCTCCCTTTAACAAATATACCATACACGTCTTAAGCTTTATGTGAGTACACATATAGAAACTACATTTGACTATTAGCAGACATATACCTGTCCAGATGTTGCAGGTAAACCAGATGGATTTTCTACCATCTCTGTGTCAGCAGTTGCTTTTTCCATCTGTCCCTGACTGTGTACCAACTACGACAGGCTCACCACCATCAATTGGTCCTTTATCCTAAAACATAGTATACCATACACTGCTTAAGCTATATGTACGTGGAGAACTGAAAATAAGTGATACGCGTACACTTATGGAAAACAGTATGTGACTATTAGCACAAGACATACCTGTGCAGAGGTTGAAGGTACAGGAGATGGAATTTCTTCCATCTCTGTGTCAGCACTAGCTTTTTCCTCGGTCCCTGACTGTGTACCAACAAGGACAGACTCACCACCATCACCTGCTCCTTCATCCTGAAACATAGTATACCATACACTTCTGAAGCCTATGTGTACGTACACAACTGAATAATAATTGATAAAAATATTTGTACACGACATACCTGATGGGAAGGTGTAGGTCCACCAACTGAATGTTAGGTACTCCAGTCTCAACCATATCTTCGTCTCTGTTAGAAAATCGTGTCCAGCATTTGCAGTAAAACCACCTTCATTGTTGGCTTCAACCTGTACCATAGCAGACAAGTTACAGTTATTAATTTCTCTGTACGTACATATGGAAAAATACTATATATTAAATGTACGTACATGCCATACCTGGTCATCTTCCTCAGAGGACGAGTTTAACATCAGAAAGCTCAGTAATCTGCACAGCTGACGTCATTATATTATTCAGCCTTGAAGACTTTCTTGTTCCAGACTTGAAGACTTTCTTTGTAGACATCCTTTTAGATGCCTTCTTCACAGTAATCGGTGCCTTAACCACCGATTTAGTTGGGCTGGGTGAAGCATGGGAAGTTTGGGTTGGTTCTGTCTTTTTGCCCTTTGGATCACGGGCAGCACGTATCTCTTGACGGACAAAGTTCTTCAAGTCTCTTGCATTTGTTTATTTTGTGCTTCCTGCCTCCTGAAACACCTCCTAAGTTCGACTACAAACTTCTCAAACTGGGGATCTTCAGAACAATCCTCAGCAGTTTCCTCATTTTCATCTTCCACAACAGATTTCTGTTTTTTCAAAACAGGTGCATTCGGGCCTCGTACATTTCTTTTCCTCTTCTTCGCATCTACGATAGATCAGTTTAATCATTGATTGGTCTTCAAGGGACAATAATCAGAGAGTATAAAAACAACATTTACACTCACGTATCTCTCCTAGTTGTGGTGGGCGCTCCTGCTTTGGGAATGCAGCTGAACCTCCAACCCATTCTTCCTCCTGCCACTCATGACCAGCTAACATCAGTCGCTCAATGTAAGCAACTCTTGGATCCTCAACTTCATCATCCCATGACAGGGATGGAGGGCAAATATTGTCATCTGGTTTCACAAGATAGGTTACCTCAACCTACACGAATAAGTTTGTTAACCACTTAGAGAATGTACACTTACTTTTTAAATAATGTACGTACATAAAAAATTGTACATACCTCTTCAGCAGCCTCACAGGCCAAGATGCTGGATGTCCTGATTGGCCGCAGTGAGGCAAGATGATGGATAGACCTCTGAGTAAATGTCCTGTTCGCTTCGTCATCAGGTGCTAGCTTAGCAAGGGATGGGATTGTTTCAAACGCAAAGAGCTGGAGTGCTAATGGGAATCCTTGTAGTGCATAAGACCCATCCTTTACACACCTTATCAGTTTTTTAACATCTGAAGGGGTTTGGAAGTTTGCTATCCTCTCCAAAGTACGGGTAAAAGACAGCCTTCCCCATGGGTATTTCAAGAAGAACTTCACGTTCTTCGTCATCTCGACAGTCGTATCTTGAGGCCTGATGGGGTTTTTACCGCAGGCTATCACACCATCTACCAGGATATAAGTGATAGAGCCAGTTGCTTCCACCCATCCATGGATTTATCCTCCTTCAGCCAGGGCCACCAAATCATGCACTAATGGAGTCGCATTCTCCCCAAACCTGTCCACAAACAGAGCATCCCAGACTTTTTACACCCAGGTTAACCTTTAGCACAGCCTCCACTTCTTCTTCTTGGGATACAGCCCACATTCCAGCCCAGTTACAATACTAAATTCTCTTAGTCCAAATTTGATTGGATGGCCGCCGAAAACCATCCACATCTCATTCACTTTCTTTGTCACTAACTGACGGCATATTAATCCAAGCACAAGCTTACCTGAGAAGGAACACTGTTCGCAGGTATTCCAAAAAGGTACCCAAATGGAGAGTCGAGAAGCATCTGCATCTCAGCTTTTCCCTTAAGAACTTCCGCTATGTCAGAAATGTACTCCGGTTTGGAGTACGCGTTCATCTTCGTCTTCGAAGGGTACCGGTCTAGAGCAAGAGTCTTGGTGGTAACTCTTCAACTATAAGATCTTCAGTCGGAGCAACACTTGTACTGCCTGAAATTACAAGTGATATACAATTAAGTAAGAATGTAAACAATACGAATTCGTGTACGTACACAAGAATTATCAACATTATATACTCAAAATCTGAATTTTGGCGGAAACAGAGATTTCCAATTCAACTTCAAACATTTTCAACCTACAGATTTAGCAAAATCCGGCAACTTCTATGCCTTAAATCAAACAAGCTTTAAGATTCCGATACACCCAAAGAAACTACAAACGAAATAATATCAGAACTTACCCAATTCCTCCGGCGGCTTTGTCGGAGGGAGTTTCCTCCTCGGGGATACTCTGAGTTCCCCCTTGTCCTTCTCGGGGCCTTCCTGCGTATGCTTCTTCCTCGAGACTAAGTCCTTTGGTTTATTCCCATCCATCGCGAAGGTTGGTATCTCGCCGGAGTTTTCTCAGTTCCTCTTCGCCGGAAAAACTGCAACTTTCTGTTCGCCGGTTTTCGGAGTTCAATGCGATGCCTCAAATCAAGTAGCCAACAATTCGATCGGTGATGTCGAAAAACGAAGATGATGGATGAATGAATTTCGACTTCTCTCTCGAATCTCTCAGTCTCTCACTCGTTCTTCTTCTTCGTTTGCTTCTAGGTTTCGTGCACAGTTACTTTTTTTTTTTTTTTTTAAATTGAAAACGTAAAAAAAATTAAAAGAAACGAAACCGATACAGGTAAAACAAACAAAATGCAACTTAAACCGAAATTAACTGTGCACGTTTGGTTTTCCCATTAGGGGTATTTTCGTCAGTTTTTGGCTTAACTGCCATTTGGTGATAACGAAATCTCACTTTGCCAAAAGCTGAGACCAAATCTTTTTTTTGGCCATAAACGTGAAAAATTCTTTATTTTTTTTTCTCTTGAATTTTTTATGTTTCTCTTTCCATTTTTGTTCTCTATATCTCATCTATAAATAGGACACACACCATTCTTCTCCTCCAACTTCCTCCTGTAAACTAGTATCAAAAATGGTGAAAACACTTCAAAAGGCAACAAAGAGAATGTCATCTCCATCATCATCATCTTCATCATCCTCATCAACATCATCATCATCCATAAGGATGAAGAAGTACAAGGGAGTGAGAATGAGAAGTTGGGGTTCATGGGTTTCAGAGATCAGAGCACCTAACCAAAAGACAAGGATCTGGCTTGGTTCTTACTCAACCGCTGAAGCCGCGGCTAGAGCCTACGACGCAGCTCTTCTCTGTCTTAAAGGATCCTCAGCTAATAATCTCAACTTCCCAGAGATCTCATCTTCTCTCTACAATATCCTCAACAATGGTGATAACAACAATGACATGTCTCCAAAGTCCATACAGAGAGTAGCTGCTGCTGCTGCTGCTGCCAACACAGATCCTTCTTCATCATCAGTCTCTACTTCATCTCCATTGCTTTCATCTCCATCTGAAGATCTCTATGATGTTGTCTCTATGTCACAGTACGACCAACAAGTCTCCTTGTCTGAATCATCATGGTACAATTGCTTTGATGGTGATGATCAGTTCATGTTCGTTAATGGAGTTTCGGCGCCGTATTTGACAACACCACTTTCTGATGATTTCTTTGAGGAAGGAGATATCAGATTATGGAATTTCTGCTGATTATTTACTTTTAATCATACCTTATTCTTTATTTCAATATATATACTTCAGTAATGTAACTCATACAATGTGTTATACATTTATTTTTCTCTCTTTTATTGATTCTCAGAATGTATCGAAATCTTGGGGATCTTTGTACCAATATCTAAATTATTTTTGAAATTAGATATTTTCATGTTAAAAGTTCATTAAATCTAGAAGTAGTGGTTAAGTATGCATAAAATGAAAATAGCTTTCGAGCAACGAGCTTCGAATGATAACAAGTTAATGTTGAAGACAATCATTTGAGATTTCATAGTATATTTTCACTTAAAGTATGAATGCAAAATTTGGCGTTACTGGCTTTAACACTGTTTAATGTAAATGTGTACATGACAAACTAAGTGATGGTAAAAATAAATTAAATGGTCTGACTATGGAGTATATTATTAGGTAATAAGTTAAAAAAGAAAGCAGAGTTTTCATGTGAAAAGTTTTACAAAGTCAAGAGTAAGAAGCAAGTTTCACGAGGCTTGTCATAGAAGGCGATGAGTAACCCTATTTAATTATTGTTGTGAATAGAGTATTAAGTATAAATATTATTTATTTAGAAGAAGATAAGGAATAATTAAGAGAGAAGAGACAAGAGATGCAGAATGGTTTGTGTTGTGACTGGTTAGAATTGGTAAAACCAAAGAGAACGTGAAAAACTTTGTACGTTATGTGCTTAGATTTTCGTAAAAAAATTGACATTCATTTTACTCCAACATTGGTCTGAAGAAAAATCTAACAGTAGATTTGAGCAGAAAGCCACATGAGTTGTTTTTGGTTCTTGTTATGTGTGTGTCTTTGTGATATGGGGTCCCATTCACTCTCTTACCCTTACTCCTCACCTTTGTTTGAAAAATCGCTAGGCGTTAGTCGGGCGCTCGGTATGGGCCTAACGATTAATCGGAAAATCGGATTAAAATCGGAGATTAATCGGGGATTACTTTTAAGGTTATTTTAATATTTTTAAAACATATTAATCTAATATGTTTTCAAAATTGCAGTAAATATATAATATATCTTTTTGAGACAAATTTTTATGATTTTATTCAAAATTATCATTTTTATTAAAATTTGAACATAAGTTATGTAAAACATCACAAACTCCCAATTCAAATTATTGAATAACAAAAATAAAAAGTTTTTTTTATACTTGCAATCTAAAATAATCGAAATATGTAAGATTAGGCGGGAGTAATCGGATTAGGCGGGAAGTAATCGGATTAGGCGGAGAGATCAGGTAACTGATTTCTTTAGGGGATTAGTCATTAATCGAGGCAGATAGGGTGGACCTAGCGATTAAGTGGGGAGTAATCGGGTGTAGGCGGGGATTTTTAGAACATGGCTCCTCACAAACACTATTTCTATTTTTTTTAGATATGATTTGTTCTTTTTAGAACAGTTTTTACCCTTCAAATCAACTATAAGACCATCTCCAATATATTTCCTAACATGTACATTAAAACCTATTGGTATACAAAACGGTATTATATTTATGCAGATAGAAAAACGGTAAACAATATCCGAATATTTAAAAAGGGTATACTTAGCGATAAGAGAAAATGGTACAACAAAACCGAGAATAACGCTTTTGATTAAAATATTTATGGTTGGCAATTATTTTGGGACCATTTATGTGAAAAGCTTATACTCTCAACATGTTTAATCCAAAAAAACTATCAAAGGATGTCTATTCTACTGAATTTGTTTTTTCAATACACATGTGAGTCATGGAAAATCAAGTGGTAAAGAGTAACTGTCAGTCAAACACACCTTCAAGATTTTTTTTAGAAGAGTTTCTCCCTCAAATAGCAATTGTAGCAATGTCTATAGATTGGTGATACGAAAGCGGTACAAATATTTTAGCTGGTGGAGCAACTAGCGGGTACATTATCGAAATAGTTAAAGAATGGTGAGAATTATCGGTAAAAAAAAACTGTACAAAAAATAACTGAGAGTAATATTTTGTTACCACTTTTGTTATTAATAATTTTTTTTAGACCATTTATGTGAAAATCTTATAACTAAATAGGTTTTAATCCAAAAAAAAAAGCAAAGGATGTTTATTCTACTGAATTTTGTTTTTCAATACACATGTGAGTCATGCAAAATCAAGTGGTAAAGAGTAACTGTCAGTCAAACAAACCTTCAAGATTTCCATATGAACGTTTGTATTGCCAGAATAAAACGTTTTTAAGGTATTTTGTTTAGTTATAAAACGTGATTATGTTGGCAAAAAACAATGTGATGACAAAGTCATTTCTACAATTCAATTTTTTTTCTTGTCTCACGTTAAATAGATATTAATATAGAAGATGACAGTTTTCTTTGTTTGATTATAGAACGTTCAAAAACAGTGAAATGAATGAAACTATGTTAAATGCTGAATAATGTGTTTGCATATCTTTCTTTCTTTCTTGTTTTGTTTTTGCAAAATCTTTGACCCAATAATTAACCCAAGAAACTGCTATATTGGTATATTCAACTAATGTCAATTATTTTTTATTTTAAATCATTGCAATTTGTATATATACAAACAAGTTGTAAATTGACCATACCTATATGTTTCCTTTGCCGTAATTTGAGTTGTCTTCGAGCAAATAAAATATCACTGAATAAATTTACTAAAAATACTGTAAGAATTAGAAATTTGGGTCTGAGTTTCTGACATGGGCTTTGGTTATAGTTGGTCCCATGAAAAGTGCCTCCACATTCATTTTTCTTTCACTTTCACATGAGTCATGACATATTCTCCGACCGGGACGAGTTTTTTCTTTGTCAGGGGATCTCTTAATGATCGCAAAAAAACACATAACATGGCATTAGTGTTCTCAATGTTTTATGTCTAAATAATTTTTTAGAGAACCTTCATACAATGATATTTTATAGTTTTGATTCGGAAACGGAAAACCAAACACTTTTTGGTGTTATGTTGATAAGTACAAAAGACAAAGAAACTTGCTGTTGCTAAATCACTAGGCAGTATTTGAAATAGATCAAACATTGGTCGTGAAATCATGAACTCAATTATACGATTATGTTGTCTCATTATAACGAATATTAAATAGTGTAATGTTAATTGATTTATCAATTATACTAAGATTGCGATTTCACGATGGCTAGACAATGCATCTATATGATAATAGTAGTGGCGTCTGGCGTGGTACAAAATATGTATAGATGGACAAGTGGACAGAAAAAAATTATGTCTATTTTTTAAAAGAGTATTTTGTGGATCCAATATCCGAATCAGTGGTTGTTATACATACAGAGACTAATGAGCTCTATAAATTCATACACTAATTGATTTAGCCTTCTAAATGCATACAAGACTTTCAAAATGACCATTATCCACTAATTGATTTAGCTTAGTTTTAGTCTATCTTATTATCCACATAGCAAGAGAAAGCGATCATAAATTGTTCTCCCTTTTCTCTTTTTTTTTTAGGCCGAACTCTATATATCTCTTTAAACCCGGGTCAACTTTTCATATGTTTATCAGTACTAGTTGTCATTCAATCATGTGACTTCTTAGAATTTTTCAGGGTACATTTCCAGTTGAGCTATCTACTTCTGGTAATTTTACTCTCCCTTTTTATTTCTTATAATTGGGTTTTCGTTTGTGGAAACTCTATCTCTAGAATGGTTCATGTACAGTCACAATTGTTCTTTTCTTTTCCCATACCATTGGTTGCTGTATTAGGGCTAGTGTTCTTTAAGAATAGTGTGTTAAGCACACTCCTTAAGCTAGTCTAATTATTCAAGAAAACAACTAAACAAGAAGTCCTAACAAATCTATTCGAATGAACCATATCCAAATCCACAAGGTCAGTGCCCAAAGTGTTACGACCTGTAAATAAAAACAC